TGGTTTGGCCTGCCTTCTTCTGCAGTCTAGCCCTGGGATTCCTTGGTAGTGTTCCATCCATGAAACTCAGATTCCATCCATAAATTCAGATTTAATCCAGGTTTCTGGGCCCAGACAAAGTTGGTGAGATACTGACACCTAGTGAGAATATCATGGGTCCATTCATTGGTCCATTGATGAGTGGAGGGCAACTGTTTTTACTTTTAAAAATCCCCTTGGGCTTTTTTGTTCCTTTACAAAGAGAAAACTCAGATTTGTGGGCTCTTAGCAGAAGCTACTTCTCCTCTGAAGCACTTCTGGACTGATCATGCGTACCAATGATGCTGAATGGCCACATGATCATTCCAGGAGGTGCCACAAGGAAGAAAGAGCTCTGAGCCCACAAAGCGTTTTTCCTTTGGCAGGAAATAAAAAACGCAAAGCCCCTTAGCCACCTTGTACGTTTTCAGAGATGAGTCACCCTTTCTTCTATGATAGGAGGAACACTAGCTAGACTTCATTCCCATTAGTGTTCAGTCTGCCATGGCAATTTTTTTTATGCCTCTGATGGCTGATTGATAGATTGACTATCCCACCACTTTTGGCAGATCCAATCATCCACGTTTGGCACTCGAAAAAAAAAATCTCACCCAAGTGATTCTCAGATGTCACTTTCATGGTAGCGGTAGAAATCTCCACAGTGATGAAGTCTTACTTCTTTAGAAGGAGCTAGGAGCAGAATTAAGACAGAAATTCTATGTGAGCATTTAATAAAGCAGGGCTCTCTCATGTCCAGAACTTTAAAAAATGTTGCTCATTAAAATTTCTGTTCAGCCAAGACCCTTTTTCATTCATTTTGTGGCCTCCTTTATGACTTTCCTATCCAACTGGCAATTCATTGTCCCTAATACATCCATCTTTTGCCCCTCTTGGGAGTAGATGGGATGTCAAACTAATGTGTCCAGCCACCAATGTATTTTAAGCATCTTTTAAAAACTTAACTTTTTATGTTGGCCTTCCACCATCAATTTTCCCTAATATTTGTAGTTGTATAGCTCGTTTTTATTCTGCTTTATCTAATGCTTTAAAATTACAAACAAATAAGAGGCAGTATTTAAATTAGTGGGGAATTCTGGGACTTGAAGCCCACATGTCATAAAGTTGCCAAGTTTGAAAAACACTGATTTAAATGCTTTGATAGCAATAATAGCAACATTGAAACGGTAGGTATTGCAAATGTTTTTGAGATAAAAAAAAGGGACATGTTTTGTAATTAGGTTTCAATCTGTGTTTGGTATATGTGTGTTTGCAAAGCAAATTGATATATACACTATATGATTTTATTGCCTTGTTGAAGAGTGAGGTCGTTTTTTTTTATGATTATAATTTTTGTTGTTATTGTTCTACAATGTAATTCTGTTTTTTTTCTTCAGTTTTCTTTGGGAAACGACATTGATGTCAAAGTAGAAGGGAAAGGAAAAGGAACTCTGACGGTAAGTCTCTCCATACTGCTGTTACAACAAAAATTAAATGATTGCCACTATGCTTTTTACCATGATTGCCAAGGGATATGAGTTATCTCCCTTTTAGCCTCACAATAGGGCTGTAAAGTAGGTAATGCTGAGAAAGAATATTTGGCCAAAGCACAAAAGGTGGGCTTTTTGATGCTAACAATAATTGTGGAGTAGCACACGCTTGTTTTAGCCTTTTCTGAAATCCACCAGTGTCCACTCCTTTTCAAAAATGTGAAGAAGGATTCTGTCTGTAACCATCAAGCCCATTTGCTACACCTTAGTCCCAAGATAGTTCAGGCAAAGAAAGTGTCTGTTTTAGAACGGAGTTGCTTTATAATTCATGCTTAGTGAACAAGGTACAAGTAAATGAGTGGCATACAACATGATTTGTTCTGAGCAAACAAACCTGGCTTAGCTCAATCCTCAAGCAATTTCCATTCCTTGGGAAGATACTTTTCTTCCACAGTGAAGATGGAAACAGAAAACCTACATTCAAAACAAAAGAGACTCCAGCAACTGGAGACTCCAATAGAAAAATAAAAGAATTACACAGTCTATATCTGCAGGTGCCCCTGTTTGATTGGCAGAAACCGAGTTCTGGGGAAGAAGAAAGAAAATAGCTAAGGAGTAAGAATCCAAGTGCTAAGAATTAAAATTCAGCTTCCTTGTCTCTTTAACTTAAATTCTACTGAAGAGTTTTTCCTTGGAATGATAGGAAATGCTGCACCTGTTGCATTTCTGCTGGGCATGCCTCTTGTAAAGGCTGAAGGGGTTCTTAATATGTGTCAATCAGTAGTTGGGGGTGAGAGCAGAAAGGATGTCTCCATCCCTTGGTGGGACTGATGCTTGGTTTCCCTGCATTCTGGATGCATCTCCAGTCCTACTGGAAGAGTTTCAGAAAGGTGAAAGTACAAATGGTGCCACTAGGGCTGGACGTTGGAGGAGAAGTCCACAGCCCTGCTCAGCAGGGAACCCAAACATCAGGAGGCTGGAGGGCCATAGTTGGAAACCCAGGTGCATTACCAGCTAAGGAGGGGGTGGGATAAATATGTGTGGGCACCTTTTGGAATAACCAAAGCCATAAGCAGCCTCCCAAGCATTCTCCCTCCTTCTAGCATGACCTAACAGCATCACCCAGGACAGAGGTGGCTGAATCTTCTCTTCTTGCTCCTTCCAGGTTCTCAAGCAGTTTCATGTCTTGGCTGTCCAGAACAACACCTGTCAAACTCTGGGACTAGAAGTGACCGTGAGCGGCTCTGTTCGCCGAAGCTGTACGTCAAGGATTGGGGACTGGAGGCTTTTTTGATAATTGATGGGGGGGGGGGTTGCTCCTTTTTTTCAGTTTGGATTACTATAACCAACATAGCTGGGTCAGCGCATCACATTAGATTGCATGAACAGGAGAGAACTGCCACAAGTTTCAGAGCTTTGCTTGAGGTTAACCTTCATGCGTTGTGCTTTCTTCAGCAATATACAATGATTGCTGTTTGGGAAGAATAATTTAAAACATGATTGGTTTGAGGTTGGCTAGTTTTATACAAAGTGCTAGACTATGGTTTAAAAATTGTGATGTTTAGGCAGAAACCAAATAAACCACCTTATGTCTTTATGTGTTATGTGAACTGGGTCAGGATGTTAAACCATCATCTGTTTTGACTTAGCCTGTTGTGTGAATTCATCTGTTGTGGTCTGTTAACCAGAGTTTATGATTTGAGTAAGAACATCAATGGCTGGGGATTCTGAAGGTGGCTTTATGTTAATCGAAGGCCATGGTCTGGGCCACTTTCCCATTCTCTCCTTCATTCTGTGTGTGCAAGACGAGGAGTGGAACAAGGGAACTCATAATTTCTTCTTGCTCAACCACATTGCACTAGACCTGTGTTTCTCAACCTTGCCAACTTTAAGATGTGTGGACTTCAGCTCCTGGAATTCCCCAGCAAGGAATTCTGGGAGTTGAAGTCCACGCATCTTAAAGTTGCCAGAGTGGATAAACACTGCACTAGACCAGGGTTCCTCAACTTCAGCAAACTTTAAAAGGGGGGGCGTTAAATCCCACAAATACCC